TCATAAAATTTGACAGCCATTTGGAAATTATACAAAGGGAAAAATCATGCTGTTTAGGTACCTATATAGAACATTGAATAGTTGCTTATTTCAAATTTTATGAAAATTTGAAAGGGAATTCTGGAAAAGTATTTAGTACATGTAGATATTAATGTAATGACACCTGTTCTTCAGGACCTGCTTTCACAGTAATGAATCTGACATGTATTTGCCCAATATGTATACTGCTTTATGAATAGGTTGATGCTGTATTTCAGGTCATCAATAACTATTCTTGTTCATACTGTTTTTCAAAATATTTTAGCTGTAATTTTTCTCAATTTCTATAAAAATTTGACTTTCTCCAACACAGCAACTATTTGCTTAATGTTCACTTAAGACACAGTCTTGGTCTTTCTTTTTAGTATTTCAATTCTCTCATCAGTGCACTGTCCTTAAGCATGTGCTCAGTGATAACCTGTGGTGAACAGGAGCTGTATCATGGAATCTATGTCACACAGCTACTTCTTTGTTGGGGTTTAGCTCCAAATTTCATGAAGATCTCTCTGTAATTCTTTGACAGTTCCTTCTGGGAGTCTTATAAATGATATATGATTAACATTATATAATACAATGGTGAGGAATTTATATTTAATCAGACAGTTATTAAGGAAATAATCTAGTATGATGGTCAGCATATGTTATACATATACTGTGTCTCTCCTTTCCTGTTTTCCTCTCTTCCCTCTCCTCTTCTCCACCCTCCTTTCCCCCCTTCCCACTCCTCTTCTTCTTCCCCCTTTCTTCCCTTCCTCCTCTTCTTTTTCCTCCTTCTCCTCCTCCTTATTCTTCTTCTCCTCTCTCTCTCTTTCTTTCTCTCTCTCCCTTTTCTCTTTGCTCTTACCATCTCTTCTTATCTTTTTTGAATCTGCCACAACACTTTTATCACTTTCAAGGTCAGTTTCAATAGCCCCATAGATTGCAATCAATCTGTAGTAAGGAGAGGCTATTTTTAACAGAAATGCAGATGGTGAAAATATGGCTTGACTATTCTACCACAAAGTAAAAGATGAACAACACATTAAAAATTTAAGAATAAACAAAAAATTCTATACTCAAAATTAGAAGTGAGAAGAAGCAGAAGCACTCAATTCTTAAAAGGTCACTTGTTACTATAATGAAATACCCATGGGAATCTTTTGGAAAAAAAAGATTGTTTAGCGTGTATTTCTAGATGTTCATGGACATGGCACTAGGCTGGCTGTGCTGTGGTGAGCACCTCGTGGTGGATCACAGTGGTGGGAGTTGTATGAGAGGGAGCAGCGCATCACCAGGCAGGAAACTGGAGAGATCGAGGATCAGGCTCAGGCTTGTATAACAAGTCAGTCTCCAGAGAGCTCAGGGGTCCCCCAAGAGCTACCTAATTGCTCCAAGAACAGCAGTTCCAATGACCTAAGGAGTCCTACCTTTTAGAGTTACACTGCATCTCCCACTCCCACACATGGGACCAGGCTTCCAGCACACAAACCTTTGGGAGACATCAAATCATTTGAAAATTATACCAGGAGGTAAGTCTTGATCATAGATATAATACGAGCAGAAAATAAAACTCTGATAATAATTCTATGTCTAGTAAAAAATAATGAAAATTTGCCAATTCCACAATGACAAGGCTGGTGTGCAATACTTCATATTCACCCTCATCCTCTGCTGCTGAGAATGAGAAGAGGTACAGGTTCTGAGTTCTATTGGGAAATGTTACTGTCTTTTCAGTCAAACCTACATGGATCTACACAGCTTTCCTTCTTCGTTTTCCACATCCACTCTTAAACATTATCGACCTCTTTTCTTCAGACCTACTAGGGTATTTCACTGCTCTTATTTTCTTCATTTTGTCCCAACTATCTTCTTTGTTCTCTTTCTTCCTTCAATTAATGGCTTCCAAGGCAGGCAGCATGGAAAGCGTGCAGCAAGGCCAAGAGCTTCCAATCCTGCCTGTACTAAGGAAGAGCAAGTAGAGTCAGACAGCTTACTTGACATCATAATAGCAAAGGCTGAAAGAGGCTTCAATAGGTCTTGTCCTGTAAGTTTGACATGCAAAGTGAATCTCTAAAGATTTGTGAAGTGCTTAGGACAGCTTGTGTTACAAAATGTCTAGTATAAATAGGGATTAAAATGCATTGATGTTTTCTTTTTTATGTGTTTTAAAATATTTTACATAGGTAATCTGTGGGTTTTGAACATTTTTTTGAATTCTAAACATGTTTTAAAATGCAAACAAGTGTTTCTTTTTTATGTAAGCATATCAATAATTCTTCTTTTATTTTTAAATATTTTCATACTCAGTAAAGTTACATTAGCTACAATAATTATAACATATTTTATTTTTACTTTTTAACAACAACTTTATTATAATATATATCAAATACCATAAAATTAACCATTTTGAAGTATGAAATTCAGTTGGTTTCCAAGATTATGGAACAAAGTTGTTGTAGTACAAAGTAGTACTTTATTATTTTTTTATGAAATGATGTTTTTATTTTTATAACTACACCATGTATAGATGTTGCACATTGTGTTTGTCCATTGTCAGTTGACAGATGTTTGAGTTGAGTCACAGTGTAGTTAAGAACATTTGCATCCAGTTTGTCTGTAAATTATTTTTATTGTTCTGGGTATATACCAAGAAGTGAACTTGCTAGTCATTTGTAATTTAGACTTTTGGAGAAATGGCCAAACTGTTACCTGATTTTAATATTTTTCACTAGCAACAATGGAAGGTTTCAAAATTTCTGTCTACTACCTAAGGAAGTACAACTTTCTGTGTTTGTTATTTTAGCCATACTAGTGAGTGTGAAGTCTCTTACTGAGTTTATTTGCATTTCCTTAGTGACTAATAACACTAAACATCTTTGTATATGATTATTACCTATTTGTAAAACTTTGAAAATATGTTGTATTATCCTTCACCCATTGTCCATTGTTTTAATTGAACTGTTTGTCATTTTTTGCTGAATTATTGTAGCTCTTTATATATTCTTTATATATTCTGGACACAGGACACTTGCCAGATAAGTGACTTTCAAATGTTTTCTCCCATTCTGTTAGATAAAATTCACTTTCTTGGAGATACTTTGAGGGGAAAGGTTTTTCATTTTAGTGAAGTCTAATTTACTTGGGGAGTATTGTATCTACTAAAATACTAAAATCTTTGTTCAGCTCCCTTAGCGGTGAATAGAGATTGGAGATATCTAATTAGATTTCTAGAGTCACTATGTCCCTCCTAATTTTGAGGTGTTCGAGTTACGTTTGTGTTACACATTGACTGTTCTTGCAGACAGTGTACAATTCTGCCTTGGCCTTTCTTTCCTGCTTATGCAGAGCCTCACAGCTGGCCAGACATGAGTGTGCATTCCTGGGACTGCACAGCCCTGCACATCTGTATGGCCTTCTATGTTCTAGGAATATGTTGAGCTTTTCAAACCCCTCTGTGAATATCTCATTCCCCAATTCTTTTTTAAAGATTTTTTTGGGTCAGCCTAGTTTAATCCCCAACTAGTGCTTCTATCTTACAGAATTGTAATGTTAAACAACCACCAGCGCTTCTTTTAATAAAAACCTCGGGGATAGAACTGTTCACAGAGTAAGCTCTAATTCTTGCTCACATAAAGAGAAGTCAGGAAAATATAAGTTTTTAAGTTGCTGCCAACAGGGATAACTGTCTGGGGACGGGGCCTTGGGGATATCTCCAAACCTATTCTCTCCCCTCCAGTCTGCTAGGATGATGGCTTTCACAGCTAGCACAGTTGCATGTGCTACCATTCAAGGCTGCTGTGCAGCTCTGGAAAGGGGATGAAAGTCAGGTTCAAATAAACAAATCTTGCATTTCTGTTGTTCCCATGAATACTCTGTAGATGGTTAAGAATATGTGTCTATTTCCAGAGTTCTGAAAAATCTGATTTGACAATGCCTTCACTGCCTTCAAGGAAGAAAAGATTTCTGGTTTTAACTCTGATGGTCCAGAGGTGCTTCTTGTATTTGATTTTGATAGGCAGTTTGAGACTTCTGTCACATTCTTTTCCAAAATGGCTGTGCATTTGTTCCTACACATTTGAAATAGATGGTTATTTTATCCAAATATATTGATCATTTCTTAGATTAAAAATACAACAAACTGTGGCTTGGGTGCTTAGCATAGCAAAGCCTTGGGCCAAAACCAAACCCTGTTTCATGACATAACTATGCATTTTAATCACGGAGATCACACTGCTGTAATAACTATTTTTCTTGGTAAATATATAACTGAATTATATTAAGATTAGTGGAAAATTACAAGTGTGAAAAACATACTCAATAGCTATTTGTTTTAGGTGTAAATAAGATAAAAGCATGTTATAGCTTCATTAATCTAAAAACATATAAACTAAATTAGAAACTAGGTTTTTTTTTTAATATAAACTCATATACGTCAAATAAATATGGGAAATTTAGGAATGAGATCACCCTTTCTTTGCCTGTACTGAGAATTGAACCCAGGGCCTCATGCTTGCTAGGCAAGTGCTCTCCCACTTGCGCCACGCCCTAGTTCTTTTGCTTTTAACTTGTTTCTCAGAAAGGGCCTTGTACTTTTTCCCAGGCCAACCCTGAGCACCATGCTCCTACCTTCACCTTCTGTGCAGCTGGGCTTACAGGCATGTACCACCACATCGGACTTGTACTGAGATAAGGTCTTGCAAATTTTTTGCTGAGGGTGGCCTCCATCTGTGATCTGCTTATCTCTGCCTCCCATGTAGCTGGGATTTCAGGCATAAGCCACCATGCCTAGCCCTAAGATCACACCTTTTTAATAAAATGTATCTTAAGGAAATGGTAAGTTGAGGTACTCCATATTTACAATGATCATTTTGATAATTTTAAAACAATATTTTAATTTTACTTTATTTGTGACTATGTTTCAAAAAGCAAAACTATTGAAATGAAAACACTTTATTTTATTTTATTTGTTGTTTTTTCTATAGGACTTTGGAGATGATGGGTCCCTGTATATAACTAAGGTTACCACCACTCACATGGGCAATTATACCTGCTACGCAGCTGGCTATGAACACATCTATCAGACTCATATCTTCCAAGTAAATGGTAAGAAATGTGGTGCTAGGGCCAAAAAGGAGGAAGAAACTCACTTGACTGTCTGCAGGAGCAGCAAGATGGCGTTAAGGCTGGCCTGCATTACTGGGAGAGGTAGTCTGGGATCAGATCCCATGCAGCCTGTGCACCTAGGTACATATTTGGATTTCCATTTTAAGTGTAATAGGGACATACAAAAGTCTTCAGTAAATGCATCAGTACATTCTGGTCTATTTAAAATGAATGAATAGTCAAAAATTATCTTAGTTGTCTCATAAGAGATACTGGTGGTTTAAAATATAGCATTAACAGTGGACTTTTATGAAGTGGCCAGATTTGGAATATGCTTTGAAAGTAGATATGACACTATCACTGAGGAATTATCTGTGGCTATAAGAGAAGGAAAGTTTAAAAATGATCCTTAGGAATGTGAAGCCAGTGATTAGGAGCATGTTGTATCTACAACTTGCTCCAAAGAAGGAGCACATTGTGGGAGGTGGTTAGACATTAATTTTAGCACACAATTTAAATGTAATTATTGATGGAAAAGTCAAGTATTAAACTGAGGAAAATGAAGCCTGCTGCACATTTAGATAGCATCAATGTTTATTGATTGCATTGAAAGCCCTGTACCTGAGCTGATTAGACAGCCTTACAAGTGAATATACATGGACAGGAGGTCTGAGCCTTGTATCTGAAGTTTACAAGTGGAGAAAAGAATGTAGAGAATGTCCTTTAATGGAAACTCTGTGTCCTAGAAATTAAGAAAATGTTATAAAAAGGTAGAAAGTATTGGAGAGTATTATTGGCACTCAGCAGAAGCTGATATAGATGTTGACTTCAGGTGCAAATCAAGTTGACAGCTACACATAAGTAGTCTTTCAACTAAACTTCTAATGGGAACAATGAAGAAAATAAAGGAATTAATGCATGCCATCCCAGTGCCTGGAGCACTTCTTTTTGGATTTCCTACACAGAGCTCTCCCCTCTGAGTCTGTGTTGGGGGTGCCTACAATAGAGGTGCTGTATCTATGAGGAAATTATAGCTGCAAGCCTAGGCCTTGCCTTTTCTCTTTTCCCTGTTTTTTCCCCTTTTCCCTTCCTTTAGTAGTCCTGGAGGTTGAACTTGGCTTTGTGCTTGGTAGGAAAGGCACTCTGACACATGAGTCACACCTCTACTGGTTTTGTTCTGATTATTGTTGGAGATAGGGTTTCTCTTTTTGTCCAGGCCAGTTGGGACTGCAATCCTCCTATTTTACACTTCCTGCAATAGCTGGGATGAGAGGCATACCTCCAGGCCCAGATATCCAACTATTGGTTGAGATGGGATCTTGCAAATTTTTTGCTTGGAGCTCCTCCTCCCAAGTAGCTGTAGTAGCCACAGGTGGTAGCCAAAAAGTGCCCTGTTTATGCTTCCCTTTTGGTAGTGACTATCAACTTCTAGACAACTGAAAAGTCTAATGCCCCGATCATTTTATTTTTTTGTTTTCTCAATACCAGGGTTCGACATTACTTGCTAGGCAGGTGCTCCCTTTGAGTCATGCTTCCAGCCCTTTTTGGCGTTAGTGACTTTTTGAATAGGGTCTTGTGTTTTGCCCTGAGGTGATCTCAGCTGTCTTATAATATGACAGCCAGCAGCTTGAGTCAGTACCCTTCCTGGGTTTCCCACCTGGAGTACCTTCCCACCTGATCCTCCCACTTCCCTTCTCTGGAGCTAGGATTGTTGATTGAGATGTGGATTGTTGGTTGAGATGTTTGCCTTGAACCATGATCCTCCTGATCTCTGCTTCCCAAATAGCTGGGATTATAGGTATGAGCCACAGCTATTTTTTTGATAGTCAAGGAGAGAGATTCTCTAATTTACTAAGTTGCCACCAATTAATTCTCTTACCTCTTAACCTCACTCCTTGTCCTAGATCTTTCAGTCTGAGCACTTGAAAGTTTTTTTTAAAAGTACATGAGACATGTTCCACCTATATTAGAATCATGAAAACATAAATCGCAAATGCAGAAAGCTAGGCTTTACCAGCCTCTGTGGAAGTTGAATTTGAGCTCTGCTCAGGCAAGTTAGTGCCTGTGCCACGCCAAGAGCCTAAGACTCGTGCTACATTGCCTCACGTTCAAGGAAGATGCAGTTTTCTCGCTGGAGTCACTCGTTTGCCATGGAGGGAAACCCAAGAAGGATACTGAGCCAAACTGCAGGCTTTCCTATTATAAGACCTGTGCTAAGAAAGCAGTGTTGGGGAAAGTAACTCCTATTTTGTATCCCCCTGTGATGAGCTATTTGCTGTCAGATCTCAGGTTTTTCTGAAGATGGACCCCAGGAAGAAAGGAATAAAGATGTCTCAGATATATAGCTCCCCTCATAGGCCTTAGTACTACGAATTAATTAATTAAAAGGAATTCAATATTAGAAGAGATTACTTGTGCCAAACTCTAATGCTTCCACTTTTTCCTAGAAAAAATGATCTCTGAACCAGTATTGTATAAGAACAGCTTTTTTCTATTGCACCCTACTACCTTTTAATTGCTCTGAATTCCTTGGTAGCAAACTTTTGATGACTAGACATGGTGCAGGGCAAAGAACTATGGCATTATCATTATTGAGAGAGCAAACAGGATGAGGGGTTTAATTTAAGCATTAGACTTGGGTACTTGGATGTAATTATTAACCTGTGTAAGATCACTTTTGTCAGATACTGGGGATAAAACCATGATTGATGTCAGTTGAAGAGGGAATGGAAAGTGAAGAAATAAACATGGGTGGTCAGAATTCCAACACAGAGAGCTTAGCTGAAAGTATGCAGATATCTTCTGGGGCTGGAGAGTGTGTGGGGTCAATGAGGAAATTTTATAAAAGTTGCAGGTATTGTGAAAATCAGCTAATTTATGAGAAAAAGGATAATTACAGTAATAAATCACTTAAATTAAAAAGTTGATGTGATCTACTGCACAAATGGAGGGATTGTTCTGGAAGATGAATATCTTCTGATGAAAATGGGAGAGAGGCAAGTGTTTGGGTAAGGATGTTAGCTGTGGCAGCATGAGGAAATCCTCTGAATTGCTTCAGGTTTTTTTACAGTGAAGTGAAGAATAAAAACAGCTGAAAGTGAAGACTGTGCAATAAAATGGTTTGAAGAGAGGGAAAAATGTGAAATAATGACCTTATTGACCTGGAGGGTGATGGAAATAGTGACTTGTTCTTGGCAGGTTGGATATAGCGTGAGGTTCTTAAGGTGGTCTGTTTCTGTGCTATCCTTCCGTTGCATTTAACTGTTGGAGAATAAAAAGGTTCAGATTTAAGGAGTATTTTGTTTATAAGGTGAGCAAATAGTAGAGACAGAAGTTAAGTTAAGTAAGTTTATAAGGAAGCCATTACAGTGATGGGCCACAGGTTCAGTAAGTATGGACAGCACTGAGGTAGTGACAGGAATTGAAAATGAACTGCAGTTTATGTGTTGCTCAAGTATGACTAGAATGAGGTGCTCAGAAGAGAAACGTGGTACTTTCACTCCGGGCATTTTTCTCATTTCTGTTCATAAGAATTTTTTTAATTAGATCAAGTCTGTATAGAGGAATTTATGCCCAGCTAAGGTTTCTTAATTGTTTAGGCAGCCCAACTGTGCCTTTAAATTTGACTTGCCAGTTCTGGCCTTTGCCAAAAGGAGAAATGATGTATATAATGGCACTGATTCCTCCAGCTCAGCCTTCATTGATTGGAAACTTGTTTATAATGTTTAAACCTATTAGAGGAAGTCAGAAAGCAGAGTACAAAATATATTATACATATGTCAGTTCCTACCACAGAGACCCCAAATAATGGAAGCTCAAGGAAATACAGGTGTGTTTTTTTACATATAAACTAGGAGAGAAAAATCCATGTCCTCTGTCACATAAACGTCCCCATATTTTCACTCTCACTGGCTTCCCATGTTTTCTGAATAGGGGAATTTGTACACATTTTAGCAAGGAAAAAGGAAGAGAGAGAAAGATAAAATGGCACCTGATAGAAGAAAATAATAACCTGATAGAAGAGATTTAATAAAAGAACCAAAATAATTTCTATTGACCCTCCCTAAATGTAAAATAATCACCAAAATCTGTTTCTGTGGAATGTGTGTTTCGCCATCCACAAGAATAAAAAGGTTCAGTTTATCAGAAGGAAAGAAGAAATAAACATTCGGTGACTAACATACCATTGTTACCACAAAAGTTTCTGGTGTGTCAAGACATTTTATAAAACAATAGAATAATGACTCTTTGCAATAAGATATCTAGAAATGGCAGGATTACCTACAAAATGACAGCCCTTAATTTAATTTGTTATACTGCACCTTCATTTCTCTTTCCTTTGTTTTATGGGGTTTTGCACTTGGCATAATAACTTGATACATGTGTTTCGTGTCTAAGCAAGTATAGTAAACCTGAGATTACTCTGTTGTTATTGTCCCATAACAAAATTACGGCTATATTTGAGTAGACAACGAGAATGCAGTAGGGTCCACAACAGCTTATTTATGGACCCAAAACATCTCTAAAACTGGTTTAATTCATTTTCCATTTCCTATCCTCATTCAAAAGGTTAGAAAGACCTTGGGAAGCAAGGTTTTCATGTGGAATTTAAAATATTTATCTCAACAGTTTGCGAATTTGTAGTAGAAATAAAATATATCATTGATTACTATGACAAACCCAGAAAATACCAAGATATTGGAATTTGTGTTTTTGAAATGACAAGTTTATTTAAATATCCCAGGGTACAGAACAAATAAAAGACTATCAATAACTATGTATCTTTTCTAGTAATTCAAAATGAGATTATTGAAATATGAGAGTGTCTGTATTTTTGTTTGAAGAAACAGTTTGTATATATAAAAGGACTATGACTCTACCAGTGGAATTCATTTCATGCTTTTCTTTTTCCTCTTACATAAAGCAAATTACCTTTAAATCTTCAGCTTACGATACAGAATGTTTGAAAATTTTAGAAGTCATTCAGTGTTTACACTATT